GAGAAGCGGAGCAACCGGGATAGAAACCGGTACCCATGGGACCCTGGTGCACGCCAGGGGAAGACCCCAGGTACCAGGCTACTATGCCAGGCCCCAGATTAGTTATATTTTAAGGTTTGTCCTAATAGACCCAATCTCTGACAATGCCTGGATTTCTGCCAAGAAGTTAAATGGAATCACTGGGGGAGGTATGGTGTAGAGCGAACTGCAGTCTCTTTAGGTGGGTAGGTCTCTTCCTGCCCCCTGGGCTCAGACCAGATGTCTAGATGTCTGCAGTAGGCAGCCTGTCACTCTGTGAGGCTTACAAAAGCTCTGCCCACCTGTCGTTGGGTCCTCTGAAGTCTTTCCAGCAGCCAGCAGCGTGGAACAGCGAGGAAAGGCACCTTGTGCCTCAAGAGCATCTCACAGAAGCTCCACTTCATGTCCTGGCAGCTCTGCTTCTCCCCGCTCCCTGCTCATGCCTAGGAAGGCAGCAGAGGATGGGCCCCGGTGCCCAGAGGGTGTGCCTTACCCAGCCCTGCTGTTGCAGCCATCCATGGAATGAACCAGCAGCTGAAAGGCCGTTCTCTCTCTGTCTTTATAACAGGTCAGTGGTGTAGGGCAGCAGGGCAATTCAGGCCCTATACCTTCTGCCACCCACAAAAACCCCGTACAAGCACTCCCACAGGTTGGGCACTCTGCCTTCCCCAGCTGACATCACTGCCCTATGCCTTACAGTTTGAAAAGTGGCACATGGGGTATTCACATGCCCACCGACTTTTTAGTTTTCCTTTAAGACGCCAGGCCAAGCTGCCATAGTGTCCACATTACCCACACAGCCCAGGGCCGGGAAGCGCCAAGGCATGGCTGAGTCCGCTGTCTGAGGTAGGGCTGGGAGGTCCACGGCTCTCTTCATTGCTGTGACTTCTCAGAAGTGGGCCAAGTCCCAGCTGGGGATGTCTAACACCCCACACAGCAACCTGCTGGACCCTGCTCGGGGCAAGGCTGCTGCTTCCCAAGCAGCACCTGAAATAGTACCTCCCACTGAGGAGTCACGGCAGGGAGCAGAGGGGCTGTCTAGCACCCCAAGGAGTCCTAGCCTGTCAGCGCATATGTGATGTGTGGTTATTTACATGTAAATATGCATTTTACACACACAGAAATTTACATATATGTCTTTCTTCTTTTTTCTTTAAGATTTTAATTGGAATGGCAGATTTATAGAGAGAAGGAAAGAGAGAGGAAGATCCTCCATCTGCTGATTCACTACCCAGGTGGCTGCAATGCCTGGAGCTGAACCGATCTGAAACCAAGAGGCAGGAGCTTCTCCTGGGTCTCCCACGTGGGTGAAAGTCCCAAGGACTTGGCCTTCCTCCACTGCCTTCTCAGGCCAGAAGCAAGGCTGCAAAGTGGAATAACCAAGACACACGTCAGCATCCACATGGGATCCTGGCACGTTCAAGGGGAGATTTACCTGCCACTGAGCCATTGTGCTGGGCCCTTTTGTTATTTTTTTATAACTTTTATTTTTTATGGTACAGTTCCATAGGCTCAAAGATTTTACCTTCCTCTTGCCCCATTACCTCCTCCCCCACTGATTTCCTCTATAACATTATAATACTTGGATTCATCATTCTGCTAAGTGTATCCTGAGATTGTAGATATAGAAAATGAAAGTCCAGCATGCTATTGCTAAGATAAATGTAACAGTTTCTTTGGGAGTCCATCTTTGATTCAGGAGTAGACGCACACTGCAGCGTAGTTTCGATTTTTGGTATGCTCATCTCCATTGCAGCTCCTCTAGGTGAGTACACGTACAGGTGTGTTTCCCTGTATGTATATCTATTGACCTTATCCTTTGCATGACGGTTGCTACGTCAGAGGGAACATGTGATATTTGTCCTTGAGCACAATGATCTCTGGTTGGGACCCTTTTGTTGCAAGTGGCACAGTGTAACAGCTGAGGAGTATCTCCAAGAGCGCAGATACCAGCCCCTTTATTCATCCGCCTTTCAACGGGTGTCTAGGCTGTTTCTGCTTCTTTGCTATTGCAGATTGTGCTACTGCAAATATAGGATCATAGGTTAGTTCCTCACATGCAAATTTGATTTCCTTTGGTTACATTCCCAGCAGTGGGACAGCTGGGTCATACAGCAGGTCAGTTTTCAATTGTCTTAACACAAGAGCTTTTCTCTCTGCTGGTTTACTCCCCAAATGGCCTCACTGGCTGGAGCTGAGCAAGTCCCAAGCCAGGAGCCAGGAGCTTCTTCCAGGCCAGGTCTCCTACGTGGCTGTAGGGGCCCAGCGACTGGGCCATCCTCTGCTGCTCTCCTAGGCCACAGTGAAGAGTTGGATCAGGAGGGAGTAGTTGGGGTGCAAACTAGTGCCCATGGAGATTGCCAATGCTGCAGGCAGAGGTTTAACCCAGTAAATTTTAAATGTTTTATTTATTTGTTTGGAATACAGAGAGAGAGAGGAAATCTTCCATTCCTTTTTTCATTCTCCAAATGCCCCCACCAGGACTGGGCCAGGCTGAAGGCAGAAGCCAGGGTCTCCACCCAGGTTTGCCATGTGGGTGGCGGGGAGCAGTACTGAGCCATCACCTGCCACCTCCCAGGGTGGTATGGGGAGCTGGACGGGAAGCAGACACAGGTGCAGGCATAGCCTGCTGTTTGTGAATTCTTCCTGAAGTCAGTGGAATGTTCTCTTGGATCTGGGCCCTGCTCTGTGGCGCGGTTGACCCCAGGCCCTCAGGCTCAGGGGCTGGGTGGTCTCTGCCCTGGCAGTCCTGTGCAGCCCGGAACAGGGCTCCTGGCAGGGGCACCCTACTGCCTGACCCAGCGTCCTGAACATAGCTACGGCTCTACCTCTCCAGGGTCTGGTTCCAGCAGACATGTCTCCTGGGGCCCTGAGGCTGGCTCCTCCTGCTCCCTCAGCTCTGCCCACATGTACCTGGTCTTCTGGTCTTCCTGCCTACCCTTACCCGCTCAGCCTCAAGAAAGCCTCATGCACAGCGACCTGGAAGCTCACTTTGCTAGGGTACAGGGGATGACCTGCCCCTCTGGTCAGCGTGGTGATGCAAGTCTAGGCCAGGCCGCTCTCCGTGCCTGCAAAGGGGCTCCCTAATTCCTTAGAAATGACTGTATCAGCAAACGCGTGGGCCTCTCAGTGACTCTGCGCGGCAGCTCCTTTAGCAGGTGGCCAATGGCTCAGGACTCAGCAGACTGCCCTGCAGGGTGTCACCCCAGCTCCTGGAGCTTGGATGCTGCCAGGGTGACAGAACTTGGGGCCCAGGGGAGCCACCAGGCAAATCCTCCTGGCCTGAAGAACAGCTGAGTTCTTACTGTGTGTGTCCCTTGGGAGAGTCCACTTCCACGGACACAGCCTCCCCACCCCCAGCCGCCCTGTGGTACACATGACCTGCCTGGACACAATCCTTCTGTAATTCACCAGACCCGGCCACTCATCAGGCCTGGGCAGGGCTGTCCCTGACAGGGGCCCTGGTTGTTTACCTCAGGGGTTGGGGCCACCTCGGCTTACAGTGCACTGCACTGCAGGCCTGAAGGAGCACAGCCCCCACGCTGGCCCTCTCTGTCCCATTGTTCCCTCCTTTTTTTTTTTTAAAGATTTATTTTTATTTTTTTTTATTGGAAAGGCAGATATACAGAGAGGAAGATCTTCCATCCGATGATTCACTCCCCAAGTGAGCGCAACGGCCAGTGCTATGCCGATCGTAAGCCAGGAGCCTCTTCCGGGTCTCCCACACGGGTGCAGGGTCCCAAAGCTTTGGGCTGTCCTCTGCTGCTTTCCCGGGCCACAGGCAGGGAGGTGGAAGGGAAGCAGGGCTGCCAGGATAGAACTGGCGCCCATATGGGATCCCGGGCGTGCAAGGCGAGAACCTTAACCACTGCGCCACCGCGCCGGGCCCTTGTTCCCTCTTTTTGGACAGGTTCCTGGGCCCAAGTCGCCTCAGAGGTATTGTTCCAGGGTTGGGGCACTTACACTGCAGAGGCCCCTTGCAACCTGGCAAGACCGGATCTTGTGCAATTGGTAACGCCAGCTCACGTACCTGCAGTCTGAGAGAGGATGGCAGGGTCGCGGTGAGAAGAGGACCAGGTGACTGCGAGAGGAGGGCAGGGTCGCTGCAAGAGGACAGGGTCATTGCGAGGCTGTCCTGGGTGAAGCATACAGGCTGGGAACCCCGCCTACCATCCCACCACACTTGGCATGGCAGCTGTCCTGTGTCCCTGCACGCCCAGCACACGACGTCACGCATGGCATGGGGCTGGACCCTCAGTGTCCGCCTTCTCTAAACCGAGGCTGGCACAGCACGCTAGTGCCTGGCACCCCGCCAGACGCCCCACAGGGGCCGTCTGCTCGGTTAGGGGGCGCAGCCTGGCCTCACAGCGGGTGCTACCGGGCTCTGGGCCCAGCTCCCCACACGCGCCCAGGTTACCGGCAGCGTAAGACAACACCGCGGCCAGCTGCGCCGGGGCGCACAGTTGTGCCACCCCAAAGGAGCGGGGAGCACGCGCGAAACACAGGATCCCTTGTTCTCCCGAGGGGGACTCTGGCCCGGAACGGCCGCAGCTGTCGGGCCCGGCTCTGCGGGAGGCCTGCCCGGCCTCGCGGGGCTGCCTGGGCTGGCATTGTCTGCACCGCCCCAGGGAAGCAGGGCGGCCGAACGGCCCCGCAGGCGCCGACGCGGCGCTGGACGGCGCGCGCCTCACTTCCGGCGGGCCGCGATTGGCCGCCGGGCGCACAGAGCCCGCCCCGCGCAGCCGGTAGCGCGGCGGGCGCGCGCGTGCGGGCCGGCGGCGCGCGCGCGCGTGGTGGGGCGGGGCGGGGCGGGGCGCAGCGGCCGCAGCCTCGTCGCCGCCCGCGGGCCCGTCCGCCGCCGGGGCCCGGCCCGTCCCCGCAGCCGCCCGGCCATGTGACCGCGCCGCCGCCCTCCGCCCGCCCGCCGCGCGCCCGCGGCCCGGCCGCAGCCCAGGCCGCCGAGGGAGTGGGGGGCCGGCGCCATGGCCGAGCGGGGCCGCTTCGGCCTCCCCGGCGCGCCCGGCGCGCTCAACACGCCGGTGCCCATGAACCTGTTCGCCACCTGGGAGGTGGACGGCTCCAGCCCCAACTGCGTGCCCAGGTACACCTCGCCGCGCCCGGTCCCCGCGCACCTGCCGAGCCGCCCCCGCCCCAGGGCCCGCGCCGGCCACGGGGTCCCCGCCCCGACGCGCGTGCCCGCGTCCCCGGCGCACCTGAGGCTGCCCGCGATCCAGCCCCGGCGCGCGCCCTCGCACCTGCCCGGGTGCGTGCGCCTGAGTGGGCTCGGTCCCGGGCCGGCGCAGGTCCTTCGGCCGAGCCTCGGGGGGTCCGGAGAGAGGGCCATGGTGGCACTGGTTTGCCCGACCCGGGTTCTGTGGGTTCCCTGGCGGGGCATCCGGTGGCGCCGCGCCAGCTCCGTTCTGCACGACGCCTCTGCCGAACTGCGCGTCTGCCGCGGACCAACCGGGGTGGCACTGGGCGCTTCTGTCTCACAGGGTTGTGACCTGCTGGGGGGTAGCTGGAAGTGGCAGCTTTCCGTTCCTTCTGCTTAGCTTGGAGCTCGGTGGCTTTCTTGTGGACCTGGGGTTCCAGAGTAGGGTTCTCCGCTGCAGTCATGGCCCTGGGTTGGCCTGTCCTGGACCCTGGAGGGCTCGCGCTTGTTGCAGAGCAAGTGGTGTCCCAGGGTTCCCAAACCTGGTGTTGAGGCCCCCAGGGGGACCTGGGCATTAGGGTTGTCCCCACCCCACTTGGTGCAAGACTCGGGCCGCACGGACTTGGCTCGAGTCCCACAGCGGTCCAGCCTGCGGGAGGACTTCCGTCCGTTCAGAGCTCATGGGGGCTGGGACTGCCACTCCTCACTCCTCAGCGACCGCTGCCCATTGCCGGCTCCTCCCCAGGCTTCCCATTGATCTCAGTGTCAGAAAGGCAGCACGTGCTCCTGGGAGCCCCCTGAGGGCAGCGTGTGTGCTAAGGAGGGCTCCAGCTTTGATCTTGTCCGAGTGTGGGAGGCAGGTGAGGCCTGGGGACCGGGCGAGGCACTTCATGCAGGGATGGGAGTCCCAGGCGTGTTTTCTGCTCGCTGTCTGGGCTGAGGTTCTGAGGCCCAGGCCCCTCCTTTCTGCTGGGCTTTGTATGTGCTGCTGGTTGCTGGAGGGTGCCCCAGGGACGCTGCCTGAGCGACACCCCCAGAGCCTCAGTGTCTGTGGTGGGGAGGGCCCAGTGCTGGACCTGTGTTTTGGGCATAGAGCTCTGTTGTGATTGGGTCTGTTTTTCACCAGTGGCTGACTCTAGCTGATTGCACTTCATCACGTCTCGCCGTGCATCTTTCCTACCTTGAGTCTGCAGTTTTTAGGAGATGCTTTTTGGCTACCTGTGGGGGGGGGAATACTTTCTCCCACCTGCTGGTGCCTCTTCCATCCCTGGGTCTGCTGGAGAAGCCCACCATTGTGGGATGTGGGGCCGGCAGGAGGGTCTCTGAGCCTGGCCTCTGGGGATGTGAGGAAAGGAGGCCCGGTAACCAGGGTCTCCTTCAGAGACCCTTCCCAAGCTGGGCCTTTGCCAGCGGGGAGCTGGGGACTGTCACCTTGGCCATGGACCTGCTCAGGTCTGTTGGTTTGGGTTCCATGAGGCTGAGGGCCTCTGTAGGTAGTTGCTGGCCCACACCTTCCCTGCACAGATCACATATGGGACAAGTACAGCGACTTCTGTGGCACCAGGAAGCCTGACCTTTCTGTGCCATGTGCTTTGTAACACAGGGTATATCTCTCCGTAGATCCTGTATCCCTCCTGGTCAGTCATGAACTGTGCCGGAATTTGTGAGGTCCAAGAGCTGTGCATGTGCCGGGGGTACAGCACTGAGTGTGAGGTGCACCTGTGTGCGGCAGCAGCCCCCACCCCTGGTCCCTGAGCGGCTGCGGGTGTCACTGGTCCCTGAGCGGCTGCGGGTGTCACTGGTCCCTGAGCAGCTGCGGGTGTCACTGGTCCCTGAGCGGCTGTGGGTGTCACTGGTCCCTGAGCAGCTGCGGGTGTCACTGGTCCCTGAGCGGCTGTGGGTGTCACTGGTCCCTGAGCGGCTGTGGGTGTCACTGGTCCCTGAGCGGCTGTGGGTGTCACTGGTCCAGGTGCAGGTGTCACTGGTCCCTGAGCAGCTGCGGGTGTCACTGGTCCCGGTGCGGGTGTCACTGGTCCCAGTGTGGGTGGCCCAGCCTACAGCTGCTCCCATAAGCCTGTTCCTGCCCAGGCTGCTGAATGCATGTTTGCCTTCCTTTCGGTGGTTAGGGCTATGTGTGTCTTACAAGAACCTGCCAGTGTTCTTGGGGAGAGACGGTTTCTGTGTTTGACAAGCAGAGTGAAGGAGATGGATGGAAGCTTCCATCCGTTCTCCAGATATCCACAGTGGTGGCCCCTGAGCTGGACTGAAGCCAGGCGCTCATCCAGGCCTCCAGTGTGGTGGTTGGCTTGGGACTCCTAGCTGCCTCCGGGAGTGCCTCCACAGGGAGCTAAGTGGTGGCAGGAGGTGGGTTTGGACCCATGCCTCAGGGGGCCCACACTGGCTGTGACTCCTCCCTCTGCTGGTATGTGATGGTGCCAGCTCCTCTTCCTGGTGAGCTGCCTGGTGTGGTGCGTAGGCCCTGCTCAGGGCTTGGGATCCGTGTGCAGCCCCTGTCTCACCCCAGAGTCCGCGGCTGTGCCACTGTGCAGCCTGCAGGCAGCGGGTTACTGTTGTTCCTTCCTGGACTGTCTGGGGGTTTGACCTTGGAGTGGAGCGCTCAGTAATCCCCCCTCCCACGAGGACTTACATGCCTCCCTCAGACATGAAATTCTCCATTGCATTCTTAACTTTTTTTTTTCGATTTTTTTTTATTTATTGGCAATCTTTACATAGTCAATTAGGGCACAAAGGTTCAAAGGCTACAGGAAAGAGGTAAGACTATTAGGAAAAGAAAGGAAAAAATGTGGAAAGAATAGTCTTACCACTTTCCTGTAGCATTCTTTTCTTTTTTTAAGATTTATTTTTATCTGAAAGTCAGATATACAGAGAGGAGGAGAGAAAGACAGAAAGGTCTTCCGTCCGATGATTCACTCCCCAAGCGACCGCAACGGCCAGTGCTGCGCCGATCCAAAGCCAGGAGCCAGGAACTTCTTCCAGGTCTTCCACATGGGTTCAGGGTCCCAAAGCTTTGGGCTGTCCTCGACTGCTTTCCCAGGCCACAGGCAGGGAGCTGGATGGGAAGTGGAGCTGGCGGGATTAGAACCAGTACCCATATGGGATCTCAGTGTGTTCAAGGTGAGGACTTTTGCCGCTAGGCCCCGCCGCCGGGCCCTCCTGTAGCATTCTTAACTCTTTGTGTATTTTCACTGTGCTTGAAAGGCAGAGAGTCAGGGGGACTCTCCACCCACTGGTTCACTCCCCAGGTGGTGCAGTGGCTGAGCTGAAGCCAGAACCCTGGGTATTGATGCCAGAGCAGGGCCCCAAGCACCTAGCCTGTCCCCCGCCTCCCTCCCAGGTGCATCAGTAGAAACTGGAGTGGGACTCGCACCTTTGGACCACTGCCTGCCTTTGCCCAGGGTGTTGGTGTGAACCTGGCCTTGAGGCAGTGCCGCCCTCCGTGCGGGGAGGGCTGTTGGGCTTGCTCCCAGCTTGCTGTGGTGGAGGCAGCTGGGGCTTGTGTGGGGCCGGCCTCTCCACTGTCTCTGTGACCGCCTGCTGCAGGCAGTGGGCTTTGTTCCAGAATCATCGACCTCCGTTGCTTCAGCTGTGCCTGTGCTGTTCCTCCTCCGTGTGTCCAGCGAGCGGGCCAGGGGCAGGCTGAACATGTATCTGTGGCAATGGCCTCCTCCGTCTCCCCATTGGCATCTGGCCCCCATGGGCGTCGTGAATAGGGATCTTTTCTGGGGCCCAGGCTAGAAGCTACCCAATGGCCACTTCTCTGTCTTACTGGAGGGGGCTCTCTGTGGACCCTCGGTGGTCGACACCACCTTCAGTGACTGGTCATTCGACTAAGCCGTGACCTGCTGGGATGTGTGGGTTCCTGCTCAGGGGCCTGACCTGGTAGGCACAGGCAGTGGTGTGAGTCCTTGGGTCCTTGGGTTTCTCTCACCCAAGGGGGAGACCCGCTCAGCACCTGGGAACTCCTATCTGTTTTTCAGATCGATGAAAGATTCCAGATGCAGATACACTTTGGATCTCGTGTGGCCCGCTGGCCAGCGTGGTTGGTTGATGGCCTCTTTCCTTTTGCCCCTGTGTCCCAGGACAGCTGGGTGGAGCAGGGTGGCTGTGCTTGCAGGTGGCCATTGGCCAAGCTATTCCAGAGTGCAGGTTGTTTGGCCTTTGATGGGCATGATCAGGTGACAGCAGACCGCAGGGGTCTGGAGTCAGATGTGGTGTGAGCAGGCTGCCGTTCCCTGCCTGGCACAACTCCTCCAGGACCAGACTTGCCCTCCAGACCTTGACTGGGCCCTGGGCCTCGCCTCACCTGCTGCTGCTGCTCCTCCACAGCGATTGTAACAGTCTTTTTGCTTGAAAGGCAGAGGTGCACAGAAAGATGCAGAGAGACAGAGGACAGAGCTCTTCCATCTACTGGTTCACTCTCCAAATGGCCATCACAGTCTGGGCAAGGCCAGTCTGAATCCAGGAGCCAGGAGCCTCTTCCAGGTCTGCCACATGAGTGCCAAAGCCAAAGGACTTGGGCCATCTGTTGCTGCTTTCCCAGGCCTAATGGAGGGAGCAGTTGGAATCCAAACTGGTGCCCCTGTGAGATGCTGGAGTCACAGGGGACAGCTTTACCTGTCATGCAACAGAACTGGCCCCACGTGCCAGCATCCTGTCCCCTCTTGGGCTAACAGTGTGTGGTGGTGCACGGCTGCATGCTTCTGTCAGCCTGCAGGTGTGACGTCCCCAGCAAGGCAGAGGTTGTAGGGCCGTGGGCTGCTTGGTGCTGGTGCTTGGCTGCTTGGCTCCTGGCCATGGCTGCAGCTCTTGCCAGTGTCCCACGGGGCCCCTGGTTGGAGGAGATGCTCTAGAGCGGGTGCAGCTGCCTGCCTGCCCCTGTCCAGTGCTGTGGGTAGCCGTGACTCCGGGGCCTGGTTGTCCTGTCTCCA